CACGCCCTCCCCGTCACCTTCGGCTACAAGTGCGCAGTCTGGCTGTCTGGTTTCCAGCGCCATGCCGAGCGCTTGGAGCAGCTGAAGCGTCGATGCTTACTGGCTCAGTTCGGCGGAGCAGCAGGGTCTTTGGCGTCGCTGGGCTCCGGGGACGACGGGCTCCGCGTACGCAGAGCCCTGGCGGAAGAGCTGGGACTGGAGAACCCGTCTATCACTTGGCATGTCGCGCGAGACGGCGTGGCGGAGATTGTGAACTTCCTGGCGCTGATGGGAGGGTCGATGGGCAAGGTGGCCCTAGATATTATCATGATGTCGTCGAATGAGCTGGGGGAGGTGTCCGAGCCGTTTGTGCCCCACCGTGGCGCCTCCTCCACCATGCCACAGAAACGCAATCCCATCTCGAGTGAGGTGATCCTTGCTGCATCCAAGATCTTGCGGTCGAACGCAGGCCTGGTTCTCGATGGCATGGTGGCGGACTTCGAGCGCGCATCGGGTCCCTGGCATTTAGAGTGGGTAGCAGTGCCGGAAAGCTTTGTTATCACCGTCGGGGCGCTGTCGCAGACGCAATTCGCGCTGTCCGGCTTACGTGTGCACAGCAAGCAGATGATGGCCAATCTGCACTCGACCAAAGGGCTGATCGTGGCGGAGGCAGTGATGATGGGTCTGGCACCGCATGTGGGTCGCCAGAAAGCACATGATATTGTCTACGAGGCATGTCGGGAGAGCATCGAGTCGCAGCAGACATTGTTGCAATGCTTGACGCAGAAGCCGGAGGTGACCTCGAAGCTGACAGAGAAACGCGTGAGCCAGCTCTGTGACCCGGTAAACTACCTCGGTGCATCGATGCGGATGGTGGATGATGTATTGGCTGTCGATTGAGATATGCTGTTTCATGATGTGTATGGAGAGGACTGGAAGGTGTGCTTTCCTTGGCGGTGTTGATAAGAAGTGAGGGAGTTCCGGGAGCGTCCACCATCCACCATCCACCCTCTCCCACATGGCCCCACGCTAAGGTAGTCTTTCTGCACGGACGCAGGCCATGACAGGCAAGACAACGGGTAAGCATAAGTATAGTGGGCTACCCCGCATGCTTCATACTAGATAATGTACATAGAATAATTGCTTTCTTCCCTTCCTCCCTCGACCTCAAGGATTACGCTCGTTGAGCTGGTGATGATTGTTCTACCAACATCAACTTCAAAGCTCGAAGACTGCTACTAAACCAAACCATGGCTTTTGAACTACATGCGTATCGCATACTGCCCAATGAACATCCAGTAATCGACTTCTTCTTTCACTTGGATGTTGTTTTGTTGAGGTATCTTGGAACACAATAAGGTAAATTAGCGGACGGTGGCACATGCACTAAACCCCATGGGGAGGCCACTCTTCGCAGCCCAGCTGAGCCCGGCTCTCTGGGAGCTAATTTAATCCAGAATCGCGATTTGATGAATTCAAGTCATGACGATGGCATTTCCCTTGTTACCCCATCCCCATAGCATCGTGATTTTACACTAAGGTACTCAATATTCATTGCAGACCTACAGTTCAGTCACTCCGGAACTCGTTTTGCCCCACTGTTTCTAGGATCGGCGAGAAACTCAGCTGGAAACCACGCTTGACCAGATCGGAGATAACCTGTCCCATTACCCGACGGCTTAATCTTCGAAGCTCTTCAGACAATCTTCCACTTCCCCTCACACTTTGGTTGCAAGAATCTTTCCCCCTTGGATCTCGACCTGTACACCTTCCGCATGGTGCAACCTCAATGCATTCTTCTGTGTGACTGTCTCCTTGACATCTCACCTCAGTGGCTCCCCGACGAGCAGAATCATGGTCATGAAGCAGTGTACTATCTGCGATCGGCAATTCAAGAAAACAGAGCATTTCAAGCGCCATGAACGGTCGCGTATGGCAATCTCCCCGTGGGGCTGATTCACACTGATGCTCATATATACTAGACACGAAAGAGAAGCCCTACCAGTGCAGTGTTTGTTTGAAGCGGTTCTCACGGAGGTGAGTCTGGTGCCCCAGATTGTTGCGCGCGGTCTTGTCACTGACCCCCGGGGCTCTCATGCAGTGACGTCCTGAGCCGCCATGCCAAAGGCCACAAGAACCCCCGCAAGGAGGAGACAAGCGAACCAAAGAGTCTTCAGGCTGCCTCGCCGGCCACTATACCGCATAATGATCGAACGCCGGTTATCTCGCATGCGAGCCAGCAGGGCATGCAGGGAATGAGCCCCAACGATCTCCAACAGATGCAGAATCTCCCGTCGCACCGAGGCACGTCGCTGTCTGCAACGCCGGGGATCCCACCATCGTCTTTGGACTTTTTGGCCAATATATCCACCCACCAACCTCGCACGGAGCCAGAGGTCAATCAGATGATGCCTGATGAGCAACATCAATACTTCGGATGGAACCATATCTCCGGCCCGGACCAGCAATACTTCAGAGGAACCATACTCGATCCAATGCAGAATGACTTGCTGCAGTTCTGGCTGGAGCCCCGTGGAGACTCGATTTCGCACAATGGTTCATTGGACATGATGGGAGAGCCAATTGGCAGCCTGCCAGGTGGAGATTCCGCGTCAACACCTCAGCAGCACCAACAGCAATTCTCAACCGATGGTGAGACCTCAAAATCGGGGAACCTGATCCCGAATGAGCGATTCTCTCGCGTACAGCGCTATTGGCTCGCTCCAGCAAATAACACCGGTCGCCTGATGAACGGCCTGTGGCGAGATGTAGCCAGCAGTGACATGAACAACATATTCACCCTGTCGGCAACACCCCCGTCAGATGGCCCAGTCGGACCACAGGGATCGAGGTATGGGCTTGACGAAGCGTGTAGACAACGCCTCTATCTTGCTTTTGGACAGACCGAACAGTCGCAGCTGCATGCGTTGCCTGGGACCAACACGCTTCCTTCCTTGGCTTCGGGCTCCATTCCAAAGAACCATAACTTTCCCCCAGCCGAGGTACTCGATATGGCGCTCGATCTTTACTTCCGCGAATTCCACCCACTGGTGCCTTTCATCCATGTTCCTACCTTTTCCGCAAGCAATACGCGGCCTGCGGTGCTGTATGCTATGTGTCTCATTGGAATGGTCTTACTGGGGACTAGAGGAACAATGGATTTCGTTTGCAAGAACTTCTCGGTGAGTGAGCAGGACTTTACACGCTTGGTGCTTTGCTGATGGGCGAACACAACAGTTGATGCTTGAGCGCCTCACGGCCGATCTCGCTAAGTGTTCGGTGGGCGTGGAAAACTCGGTGTGCACCGTATCTACCTTTGCTGCCTGCTTTCTGTTTCTCAACCTGGCTGCTATGACTGGGGTACGTCATTTCCATTAACTATCTAGGACTTGCTGACAGCGCGCAGGAGAAGGAACATCTCGAAAAATGTCAGATGCTCTATGTCAACCTCATATCGGTAAGCACCGGAAGGCATAATAAATGTTCGCAGCTCGAGCTAATACCCTTGCAGATAGCGCAACGGCATGGTCTTTTCGCCGCCACAGAAGGACAAGTGCTTGACATGAACCTTTTCGACACCTTTACTGATGTTGAGACGAGGTGGAAAGCCTGGAGCAAGGTAGAGTCTGTGAAAAGGTCGGTACATCGCGCCATTATTTTGTGGACCTGGCTAACGTTAATTGTTCAGATTAATCACCGGTCTGCTGCTATTGGACTCTTGGTATTCTTCATTTATGTCCACGAGCCCCATTGTCGTGCCCGATTCGGTCCAGTTAATACTGCCATGTGACGACGCACTTTTCCGAGCCATCACGGCTATGCGGTGGATGCAACTGATCTGTAGCGGAAAATGCATGCTAATGCCTACAATTGTGGCACCATCAGAAAACGTGGGCCTTCCCGAACTGGAAAGCCCGGTCGACGACTTTTGTATGCACGCTGTACTATCGCTGGTGCAGCTGCGGCTCTCTGAAGCCTACTACCGTCTTCTCTCGAACAGACCACAATTTCCCTTCGCGCCGTGCCACACTTACAGTATGGACGCTCGTGCCAGGTGTCTCGCGCCCCTGCAACTGCAGATCGCCGACAAGTATGGAGACATACTTGCTCGATTGAATCCTAATGCGGCTGTGACGTGGCACAATATGTGCTTGACGCTGTCGGCAGACACCCAGATCTTTGATCTAGCGGCAGGACGATCAGGTCCAGCTCCTGGCCGGAAAGCCTTGGCTGACATTGCCGCGTGGTCGCAGACACCAGCTGCTAGACGAGCCTGTCTACATGCGGCTCATATCTACAAGGTGTTGACGAACCGCAAGACTTCCGACCATATGATGTTCCACTCAGTCTTTTCTCTCTTTTCCGCGGCGCTGGTCCTGGGACTTTATGTTTTCATGGTGCCGAATGTCACTGATCCGCAGGGAGGGGGCACTGCGATCGAGCTTTTCGATGACATCGACTGGCAGAAGGTGGGTACTGAGGGACTGACCAATTACATGGTTCCGCACGGCAGTCAACCTTTCTCTGTGTCAGATGAGCCGGCTGTGAACTTCATCCGCAACGGGGGGACGGTGTACCTCCGAGGGATGCCCATTCAGGGCGGATATCAGTCCGCACGACGCGTTCTGCTGGACTATGCCGGGTTGTTGAGAGACGCTGGCAAATGGAGCGTGCGCAAGTTTTCTTATGTGCTTCACATCATGAGCGATGTGTTAATGGACGTAGAATGAAGCGTCAAGTGGCCACAGGCAAGGGTTATTGACGTTCATTCTATGCGTGCTTGGATTGACTGGCCCGGGTCACAGTCACAAGTCTTAGCCTCGAAGACGCCCCGGTATGTAGTGGCATTGATCAGCCGGCTGAACAATTTCCACTGGTGTCATGAGCGCACAAATGGTCACTTTGCTGCAAAAGTGGTTGCAATTATAATCCAAGCTTCTGTACAATAACAAACAGGCCAGACGCCAAACAATATCCCATGAGAAATACGAATGAAATCATTTGATCTTTTTTCTGAATGTTCAGACCCAAGACCGATTCCTGACCCTCTCATTCAAAAGCTCCAACTCCTCCTTGGAGACGACGAGTCCTTTCAGCATTTGCTCATTTGCCAACTCCCCAACATCAAGCGACTGATGATGATGATGATTCTCCCCGGCCAACACGACCCTCGAACACCCCCTCTCAGGTCTCCCTTCCGCAAACCACAACCCCTCCCCTCGATCCTCCTCCCCACCACCGCAGCTGCTAATCGTACTAGTGGTACTCGCGCGCCGCACCTGCAAATGCTCCGCCTCGCCTTCCCCTTCCACGCCGACCACCACCGGCAGGGGAACCTCGGACTCCCCTACCCATTCTCCTTCCTCACTCTCACTCTGCCCTCCCACACTGCCCCTCCCCCTCCTACCAGTCCCACTCCCCCTCCGCCAGCCCCCATTATCACCACCACCAACACCGCAATCGTCGCAGAAATCCCCCGTAAACTTCGCCACGCTGATCCCATTGCACCGCGCGTGCGGCATGTGCAGCACGTCGCGCAGCACGAGCGTCGTCGTGCGCGGGTCGTTGGGCGCCCGCCGCACCCGCAGCTGCACCGTCCCCACGCCCAGCACCCGCTGGTTGGCGATCTTGCACGGCGCCCGCCGATACGTCTCGAACGAGGCGCGGTTCTTGGCGAAGTGCGTGTTGCTGCTGGCCGGGAGGAGGAGCCAGTCCCAGCATCGGGTGGAGTCTGGTTGGTGTTTTCGGGCGCGGCGGCTGGGTTTTTGGATTTTGTTGGGGAGGGTTGAGGTGGTTTTGGGGGGTTGTGACGGGGTGTGAATGTTGGTGGGTCTGGAGGGGGATTGGAGTTGGGGAGGCATGTTTGGGTTATAGCTGGCTGGCTGAGGTTGTGTGTTGTTGTATATCGGTTGGTTGAGAGGTTGGTGGTTTCGAGGAGGATAAGGTGCGTGTGTGTGTGTGTGTGTGTGTGTGTGTGTGTGTTGTCGAGGGAGGAGGTAATTCTGTGTTCGTGGGATGTAGTATAGTATGATATAGTACAGTATAAGTATAGCAGTAAATGTAAGCTTGCGAGAAGTATATGTATACCAAAGATGGAGGATGTACTCTCCTAGCAATAAAAAAAAGGGTATATGTGCAGAGTAGGAAGAAGCCGGGAAACAAAGAATTGACTGGCTCTCTATTCCTCCTCCTACTAATGTACAGAGGGAAAAGGTCAGGCAGGGGTGGATCAGCCACTGCAGGGTCTCTAACTGCACTGCACAACGCGTCACCCAGCAAGGGTCTGGTCTGGACTGTGGTACTGTGCTGTGGCAAACCCACTCTGCCCATTCGGGAAGGGATCCATTGTCTCTCACTTGGATACGAAGCACAGTACGTAACGTGGATGTGACTCCTTACATGAACCCCCCATATATATCGGACCTATACGGAGATGTACAGTACACGTCCTCAAAATTGATATCTTAGAATAGAAGTGTAACTAGTGGTTTGTTTGTCAAACGAGCACCCTATTTGATGCTGTGATGGCTACGCCAGTTGTTTCCACCACGAAAGTCTTGACGTCAGCTGCGATGGCGAACCCACCCAAGCGAAGCGACCCCAGCTTAAGCTTGCTGAATAAGGTTGTGGGGAGGGAATGCCGCTCTTTGACAGGAGACCCGATTCGATGGTTGGTTTGGGTCTTCCAGAAAATACCGAGCACTAAGTGAGATAATGAATAATAAATGAGGAATAAGCATGGCTGAGACTTAATTGCCAATTCCTTCCTCAGGCTAACCCGCTTATTCTTCCATCGCTTGCTGTACCACTTGAATTTATATATCTACAACTGGTTTCTTTGCATTATATTTACATGTACTGTACTTGATCGCCCTAGTAAAGCATCTCCTTCACCATCTTACCAATGGCCAAACTGCTGGTCAATCCGGGGCTCTCAATGCCCAACAGATTGATAAAACCCGGGAACCCCTCCTCTTCGCGAATCTCGAAGTCCTGCCAGACCTTCGATGAGCCGAAGGAGGAACCGCTGGTCTTACTCAACTTGGGCCGGATTCCACAGTACGACACGCTGATCGCGTTGACATCCACATTCGGCAAGTACTTTTTGATCAGAGGCAGCGCCGGCTCGAGCCGGGCTGGGTTGGGCGCCAGGTCCTCCGGGCTATCCACCCACTCGGAGTCGGGGCCGAACCGGATCTGGCCGCCCATGTCGAGCGTCAGATGGATGCCCAAGCCGGCCTGCGCCTTCGTCACGGCGGGGTACACCAGCACGGAGGTCTTGGGGAACGAGGCCGCGTACGAGAGATAGGTGCCCTTGGCATAGTGCATCGTGCGGTGGCGCTCGGCGGGCAGCAGCATGTTGCTGACCGCGCACGCGCCGAGCCCGGCGCTGTTGACCACCGTCTCCGCCGTGATGGCCGTCTCCGCCCCGTCGGCCGACACCGCCGTGATCTCGTAGCCCTGCCCGGGGCCCAGGTGCCGCAGCCCCGTCACCCGCGTCAGAAACGCGCAGTCGCCGCCGCGGTGCTCCAGGTCCCCCTGCAGGTATGTGATCAGGCTGTGGCTGTCGAAGATGCCCGTTGTCGGGCTCTCGAGCACGCCCGCCAGCGCCCGCACCTCGGGCTCCCGGCGCTCCTGCTCCTCCCGGCTCAGAAACCGCGTGGGCACCCCGATCCGCTGCGCGTGCTCGTGCATCCGCTCCAACGACTCCCGTTCCACCGCGTCCTGCGCCACCAACCATTTCCCCGTGTTGCGATACGGGAGCCTCTGCCGTTGCAGCAGGTCGTAGAGCATCTCCTTCCCCTGAATACACAGTCGGGCCTTGAGCGTGTCGCTGCCGTAGTATAGTCCTGCATGGATGACCTAGTCCTTGTTAGCTCCGCGGAATATCACTATCCCCTCAAATTCCCAGCCCAAATCCCCCTTCAATTGTTCCTTCCTTTCAAAGTATACAACGCGCCAGCACGCATAACCAATCTCGAACCGCAAAGAACCCAGATATGAATCAGTGTTTGAGTCTCTCACCTCGGAATTCCGACTACTTGTCTCCGTCCCAGGCGCATCATGCCGTTCCAGCAAGATCGTTGACGTCCCCTCGCGACCGGCTAATTCGCGCGCCACGGCGAGTCCAACTACTCCACCCCCTATGACCTTTCGAAGAAGACATGTATGAGCCTCCCAGTCCACAAAAAAATGGTGTGTTTTGACTTACCGCATGAGTGACGTCGGCTCGGGCAGCGGCCGTACTGGAGAAGCCGCGCCGGCGAACGAGAGGGAGGGGAAGGCTTCTGGGGAGGAACCGGGGAGTGCTTCTCGTGGCCATGGCAGATTGTTAGCAACTGCGCTGGGACGATGAGGAGGCTTTAAAGTCAAAGCATCTGAAGTAAGGATTGGGCAGGATACGAAGGTGACAGTTGGTGCGCCGGGATGACTTGCCCCCTCGGGGTCGGCCCAGGGGTCCGATTTAGGCATCTGGTAACCCACTCGCTGCTGCAGCAGCCCGCCGCGGCGATAAGTAGATAAGGATGTGGCTGGGCTCGGGGATGCTAGACAACACAGGGCGGAAGGAAACAAGAGATCTTGGGGAATTGTGGAAGGTGAAGCTCGGGTTGAATTATGATGCAGCTGCAAGCCATTGAAGAACTAATGCAGACTGCTTTTTCGTCATGACAGTGTAGAAGTGTAAAAACCCTTCTTGGAGTCAGTGACTCCGAAATAGGAAGGTATCTTATTGGCCCGCGGCCTCCCCGGCCTGGCCTCAGGCATGACTAGAACAATTGCAGTGCAACCTGAAATGGTTTTATGGTACGGGAAATAGTAGTAGTGTCTCCTGGAGTCTATGACACGCTCAAGATTATACATATAAGGACCAATCGATGTACACCAGAAAATAAGATAAATGCAACAAAGGATACGATCGGTTTCTGATCAAGACCGCTTCCCCACGTTCTTCAGCATCTCGTCCAAATGCTGGCTGAAGTCAGTAGGAGCTCGGAACTACCTTTGAATGAGATGACATACCTGTTTTTGCTCAACCGCTAATTTACCTTGGGTATCCTATTTCTCGGTCAGCATAGTCACCCCTCGAAGAAATGAAGGTTCCTTACACTAATTATAGCCAGAACAAGCGAGTAATTGTTGTAAAGGAATCTCTCCCGTCTCTTCGCATCACCGCCAATACGGCTGAGCTTCGTCAGAAGGTTGTCAAACTCAGCTGTCAAGCGCTTCAAGCTGTTGGCAACGGGTTCATCATCTCCTGCATCACTGCTGAGAACCAAGATCCCATGCAACAGCTGGCCAAACCGCTGCGTGAGGAAATGAGGCGCCGACGACTTATTCAGATCGTCACCCCCGGCCAGGGACAGGGCGGATACCGCACTACGACCCGTGTTCGCGGCCACTCGTTTCAATGATTCGCACTGGGTGTCCATAATGACCTGGAATCTTGGCCATAACTGCATGTTCACTCCGTTGATATAGGAGTCGGCAACGGGGACCTTGCGACGCTGCAGCTCAAAAGCGGCGTGTTGATTCAATCGAACGCAGATCAAGACCCCTAACGCGTCCGTCGTGTGTTCGATCAGCTGTTTTGTCAGGGCTTGCCCCAGACCAAAGACTGGTTCGAAAATCTCGACCGCCTTGCGCGAAATTTGTTGGAAGGTCAATGTCGAGAACATCTCGGTCATGAACGAGTATTCGGCAGACACATTATCCACAACAGCAAGATTGAAATTGCGGAATGGCACTTCAAGGCCATGGAAGGAGTTGTCTTCCTCTGCTAGATAAGAAGAAATGGCAATCTGAGCACCAGTCCGCAGAATATCTACCCTCCTTCCTAGGGAGAACGGGTCGTGTGCCGCAGACCCTGCGCGACTGCCGGCAACAGCAGAGCCTAGGACTGTCAGTAATGTATCAACATACGATGTCTCGTTCGACTTACCTGTTTTGTGAGCGGACGGGTCTCCTCCCAGAACCTCGTTCCGGTCACTGGGGTAAATCTTGATTGACTCAAGCGCTTGACGATACCGCGTGAAGTGCGACAAATAGTACCATCGCATAGTGTTGATATAAGCTTGCGTGATTTGCCCCGTAAGTGCTGGGTGGGCCCGGGAGATATAGCTGTATAGATCTTTGAATTTCACCAACCGCTGCTGTTGCAGGATCTGAGCATTGATGTTGGGAGACCGTAGCGCTCTAATTTGGGACACCAGATAGTCCCTGATTCTCTCCACTGCCTATGGAAAAGGTCAACCTCAGCGTATAACATGTGCACAAGGGCAATACTGACCTTGTTCTTGATATCAGTGAGAAGCGGCCGCACGTCCTCGACGGATTTTGTGCTGCTCGAGCCCGATACTTTAGCCTCAATGCTTGCCGACCGAGTTTCCATCTCATTGAGCGCCTTGACCCAGTTCTCATCGATCGGTCCCTCTGCAATCAACTTCACTGTTTTGGGAGAGAGACTGATCTCCTCCACAGCAGGCCCAAGGAGCTGTTCAACATTGCGTCGGTTTTCCAGCATTGCAGTTAACTGGACTGAGCGAGTCTGCAGGGTCTCTATCTCTGCCGAAACAGTCCCGAGTTCATTCTGGAAATCGTTCAAATAAGTCTCCATCGAACTCGAGACTTCGTCACAACTGGTAATAGCCGAATGTAGATCCTGAAACTTGTTCTGTTCTCTTTCGAATTGCTGAACGGTCTGGGCACCAACATCAGTGCTGATAATTCGTCTGGGTTCATCCTTCTTGGAGACAAAATCCTCCAGGCTCAGCCCTTGGAAGTCAACGTCCTCCACGAGTTCCGATGGCTTCAAGTCGAAGTCGACATCAGAAGACGAGTCCCGGTAGGCATTCTGCTTCCCAAGAATGCCATTCAGAACACCGAGCGGGTCAGCAACATCGGATGGGCGGAATCTTGCAGCGATTTGTCTCAGCGGCGATCTGTCACCACGTGCGGTTGCGGGAAGGGAGGTGGTCGAATCACTGGGAGTCAGGAGGACGGATAAGGAGGAAGTTTGTCGACTGGACCCAGGACGGTAGTTTTGTATGTTAGGCGATAAGCGGGAGGATGTTCTTCGGGGAGGAAGAGGGGAATTGCTGCGACTGTCAACCTGGGGGCCCGAGGGGGTCGAATGGCCAGCAATGCGGTCTAGCCACATCGTAGAAGGCCGGCACGGAGAAGGGTGCGGATACCGGACAGCTTCCCGGACCTCATTGAGGGAGGGGGGGAGAGGGGGAAGATGGATCAAAGGGAGGAAGGTTCCCCAAGAGGTAGAATTGACTTGACGATGATGTGAGAGAAAACAATGGATGCTAACCAGCACCTGGTGAGAAGGAGAGAAGAGAAACCAATGTCCAAAGTGGTGGGGAGTTGCAAGCACAGCACCACCGGGGAAGTATACGGAGACCAGCACAACTTAGCTTAAGATAAGCCCAGGGCGAGATGCTACGGTGACCCACAGCAACCACGGATGTGGTTTCTCCGACTCTAGCCCCAAAGCAGACTAGCGACCACAAAACCCCGCCACAACAAGTGCCTTTTTTTCGCAGTCCATTTGTCGATTTCTTTTCGCCTGTTCCCCCTCTCTGCCTTCCATCCATTTTTCTCTCCTTCTCCTCCTCACTCCTCAGCGTCCTTTTTCCTTCCACTCTCTCTCTTCAGGTTTTCCTTGCATATACCTTCAAATCCATCACCATGTCTGACGAGGTACGTTATGCCCGCATTACTATGCTCTAATTACCGACACCCAATCCGGCATCTTCCATTACTGCATTACTGCAACTGCTGGGCTTCTGGGCTTCTGGAAGCCTTGCTTGCATCGTGCACCCCTTTCACACCCCCACCTATATGTTCATTTGTTCCTGCAGGCAATGCATGATATCTTCCGTCTCTCGATTATACATGGTCGCCGTCATGTCTATCATTGATCTATCACTGACTGACCGCTGTTCTACAGCACCACGAGACCTTCGAGTCCGCCGATGCCGGCGCCTCGACCACCTACCCCATGCAGTGCTCTGCTCTGCGCAAGAACGGTCACGTTGTCATCAAGGGTCGCCCCTGCAAGATCGTCGACATGTCCACCTCCAAGACTGGCAAGCACGGTCACGCCAAGGTCCACCTTGTCGCCCTTGACATCTTCACCGGCAAGAAGTACGAGGATCTGTCTCCCTCCACCCACAACATGGACGTCCCCAACGTCTACCGCAAGGAATACCAGCTCGTGAGTGATACAACGTGATACGGAACAAGATAGTCACTAACACCTCCACAGCTTGACGTCACTGACGACGGCTTCCTTTCCCTGATGGATGAGGATGGAAGCACCAAGGATGATGTCAAGCTCCCCGATGGTGAGATTGGTGACAAGATCGAGCGCATGTTCAGAGAGGAGGAGAAGGACTGCAGTAAGTGGAAATCCTATTATGTGATCATTATCAACCCCGCATCTAACCATACCCTACAGACGTCACTGTCCTCACCTCCATGGGTGAGCAGTGCTGCATGGATGTCAAGGAGGCTCCCCAGGGCAAATAAACGCCTTAATCGTGTTCACGGATCTTGTGACTGCCCTGTCAGCTTTTCTGTGCTCCAAAATGGCCTTGCTGTCTTCGCCCATGTGTCAGGTCGGATAAGACACATGGTCACGTTACGACATAATCTGCTTCAATATAAACTTGGGTATGTGAGCCAGTGGCGCTAGTCACGCTCACTTGGCAGCATAAATCGTGCTCTGTCAGAGGAACAGCTCTTGAAATCAGCACCGTCACGATAGTTTTACGAATAAAAAACCTATTATTGTTCCAACCAGGATTCGCGCTGTAGTTGTAGCATCCACATGTCTTCGTAATCACGTCCGTAGTCACTTTGGAGTGATTTGTAATCATAATCTTTGGTTTGACCAGGTTTCGGCGAAAGAACATGGCCTTAAATTGCCAATCCTAAAAGACTATAAAGTGTTGTGGATACTGGCTATGTCACGGGTTGATGTACATTGTATGGTTGCGACAGGGGGGAAAATTTTTGATCAGTACGGGAAATTCATCTTACCATTCGACATTGACCCGTCCGTACCCTAGGGACTCAGGTCCTCACTTTTTCATCTCCTCTGCGACCACAAGAATGAAGAGTACTGCCCTGGATGGAGTACATCACACGAGGGGTCTGTGGACAGGAAGGGTGCCGTGAAACGCGGTATTACCTTGACAATGGCCTCTGGTTTTGTAGGCGGGGTCATCAGCAAGAGGTATGAGATGATCATGACTTGCTTTCACAACCCCCCACCTTTAGGCACACTGCTGTTGCCGATCAGACCACCACGCCATCATCCTCTAGAAAACTGACGTTATTATGCCTATAGGGGCGACAAGTGGAAGCGGATGCAGATGATTTTGGTACTCAAGGTCGAACGAGTCGCATAAAGAAAGCGGCGGTCGAAAAGGCCCAAAGGAGTAAGCATTCGCAGACGCCCGCGGCGACGGTGGACCTCAAGTCATGCATCACTAACATCAGGCAGCTTACCGGGGTCGTCAGGCAACTCGTCTGTTTCTGCAAGTCTATCAATTGATTCTCTGGAAACAATCTTACACCTTGGTCCAGAGCCGCGGCTTTCCGCCAGAGTTTGAGGTACGCCTGCAGTGCACGCTTTACCTTTCCCAATCCGGAAATACCCGTGTTCACCGTCTGTATGCGACTAACCGGGTCAACACATAGAATGTGATTCGAGACCTTTGGGCGCTCCATCTGGATACCTTCGCGGACCAGATCAACGAACTGTCAGAGCTGGATGATGAACCGCGATTCTTCAGCTCCCAGCCTGCTTCCAGCTTTGATGAACCTCCAGAGGCGAAGCTCGGTACCACGCAGACGAAATGGCCTCGACTTATTGATAGTGTGGCCCTGTGCTATATTGCCGCGCTGCTAATGAGGCTTCCTGTGAGCATTGAGGATTTTCATGGGTATTTCCACCCTGACGGCTCGTTTCGTTATCGTTCATACACTGACCTGAGCTCGATATAGGATGGCCATACGGGGAGAGATGCCCTTTATCAGAATCATCAAAGATATTCCCCGCGAGATGCGCGATAGACTCCCTCCGCAATTTATCGCCATTCTTGAAACTACGGTAAGTCCTGGCTGTCATCACGAACGGAGTGTTGTTTATGTCCTGACCGTGAGGTAGAAATTGATTCAGGCCGAGCATCTTCATGGAGCCGTGGCAGATCTCCTTTCGTACTATCACCATCGCTTCGACATGCAATTTCCGCCTTTGAACTGGCCCTTCTTGCTGCATAGATACATTAAAAGGCTTGCGCTGCCGAGTGAGTGGGACCTTGCTAGCATGTCACATTGCATCCTAACCGTGTGTCTAGTCGACATCTATCCCGCCGTCAAAAGGCTACAACACCTGCTGGGTTTCTCTTTCGCATACCCCACGGGTACAAATGGCAGAAGAAGACCACTTCAATTGCCGGAAGTACAAGTGGTTGTCCTGATTGTCATTTGTACCAAGCTTCTATTCCCTTTCGACGACTACAACAGATACCCTCTTTCTTCGAAAGAACCTTCTGTTCAGGTCATCGACTGGATGCTTTGGGCACAGAACCAACGGATTTTTGACCGTGAAAGGACCTCTGGCGGTAGGCTGGGCAAGGGGAATGAGATCTCAGTGACCGAAAAAGACATATTGAGCATGACCCCGTCCCAGATGGATGAGTATATGGATTGGTACGAGAGCTCCTGGCTCGACCACAGCAAAGGTAACACAATCCTTAAACTGCTTTACTTTAGGGCGTCTAGACTGACTTTGACCTAGCACAAAATCCCTTGGCCAGCTTCTTCCCAGTCAGTGTCAATGCAAGTGAGAGTCAGACGGCCAAGGCTTCCGTAGAGGGGAATGATGCGGAGGCTCTGCTTTCGATGCTGCGAACATCTACGAGTCAGCTGAAAACTACCAAGGTCATCACCGGGGAGAGTATAGATACGCCCCGACCAGGCTCCGCCTACGCTCGCTACCGAACGGAGGCTGATCTTCCTGATACGGCAAGGCCTTTCTTCGAGACTACTGCCAAAGTAGCTGGAATCTCGCTCTCCACTCTTGTCAGGGCGGTGTCGCAGGCGGAACATAAGATAACCAGATGGCTGGAAGAGCACCGACGGGTCGAAGCGATCAAGGATACATTGGACACGGACTGCTCCAGAGAGACTAGCGAAATGGATGATCAGAATGTCTGAGACTGGAGACTGAGAATGATGAGATGTACATCTACAAGTGAGAATGCAGCTGCGTGGACTGTGCTTCTTTGGTGGGGATGAATACAGAATGCAGTGTGAAAGCCTCGGCCTGTCCATGTAGTTCCCAGAGAGCCAAGGCTCATATCAATGGAAAGACTACGGTCTCAATCACAAGGTCAAAAGAATTGAGGAGTAGTGGGCATGATGGCTGCAGTATTGAGGAATATCGACCAACCAGGATGCAATGTTTTAAACTGCATACCCGCAACTTTGATAAAATGAAAGCAACTACGCGTGTGCCAAATAAAGAAACCAAAGAGCTCCCTTCGATGATGTATGCATGATGGATCCGTACCGTATGGTATGGACGGACTATGGACTATGGAGACATGCGGAGGGGCGCCCCGAGCGGAACGGACTGCCCTAAACCCTGATCACGTGCGGAGCCCGTCCACCTCTTGCTAAGCGAGAAATGGTGAAATTGACATCGCCTCTTCCGACCGACCCCATTCAGCGAGATCGTCAGCCAGCAACAACGAAAACCGCAGCCAGTACGTATAGCACTATCATGATGAAGAGGGATATATTCAAGTCTGGAAATCGCAAAACTAACATGCTGTTTTTTCCGCGCTCGTACAGTGCAGATGTAGGTCTTCCCCAAAGCAAAAGTCTTGAACCCGTTCCGAATACTTCCCAATGCCATACAACGCCATCCAATCTCGAAGAAAAAAAGAAGACACCGGAAACACTTTCAGAAGATGATATGATGGAGGAAATACCAGAAGGGGAAGATATCAAGTCGCTGACCAGTGGTTCTTCTTCGAATCTTATAGTTTCGTCAAGACCCTCACGGGTAAGACCATTACCCTCGACGTCGAGTCGAGCGACACCATCGACAACGTCAAGACCAAGATCCAGGATAAGGAGGGCATCCCCCCGGATCAGCAGCGTCTCATCTTCGCTGGTAAGCAGCTCGAGGATGGCCGCACCCTGAGCGACTACAACATCCAGAAGGTATGAGCGACTCTTCCTCCGAAATATGATTCTTTTTCGCACATCGGTTCGGACGTTCAATGTTCGCTGCGCTTGGGTCTTGGGTTTGTCTTCGGAATGGAAAGTTGTTCTGGGTTATTTGGTATGGAAAGCTACGGTCGCCTTTCGTCAATTCTTGGTTACGAAAATCCTGGCTGGTTGATGATGGTGCGACTGCTTGTGTCGGATCCTTGATAGCCGCGTGCGCCTTGACAAACCATCATCTTTGAAGGATTATCACTTTCGGAAACCATACCCAGCGCTGCGAACTACGAATGGTCCCGATCAACATGTGCAATCAAGAAGAAGGAAGTCCCGCAAGCTAACGCAATTTTCGTCGAATAGGAGTCCACCCTCCACCTCGTCCTCCGTCTCCGTGGTGGTATCATCGAGCCCTCCCTCAAGGCCCTCGCCTCCAAGTACAACTGCGAGAAGTCCATCTGCCGCAAGTGCTACGTACGTTCCCACCCATTCCCTTCAGGATCAACCTCCCAGCGCCTACCTCTACCTTGTCCACGCAACCGACCAATCTTGTCTGACATCTCCCAACTAGGCTCGTCTCCCTCCCCGTGCCACCAACTGCCGCAAGAAGAAGTGCGGTCACACCAACCAGCTCCGCCCCAAGAAGAAGCTCAAGTAAACGATTCTCCTGTTACGGTTTTTCTGCGTTGCTGGAGGGAGGAAAGCGCTGCTGGGGTTGTTACGACCGGATTGCAACGTAGGGTATTACACGGCGTTGGAATGATAAAACATTATGGCCGAAGTCAAATGTCCATAGTTGGCTGCTCGGAAGAAGTTGCAATCGAAATACAATTGTAAAATTCAAATTCCCTTTGGTCCATTTTGATTCATTGTGGAGGGACAAGTAGGAAAGATACACAGCATACACGCAGTGCGGTCGCGTCGCCTTGGGAAAATTGCAACAGAACAAAAGAGGGAAACACATCTAACATTTGTCACGGGCAGCAAGGGATTTGAAACTGTGTTTTTCAGAAAAGGAAAAAGTCATGGACCCGTGACATGGGTGCTACCTGAGCACAAGTGTCTGAACTGGGGTCTAGATGCGGGCCCTTTTCCTGCCTTCTCGATAAGATGTGACTTCCTGGGTCACTAATGACGCCCGTGTTTTCTTTTTCCGTCTTTGCTTCGCAGCCCTTCCCCAAGCCTAGAACATGAGCATTTGCGCCTTGCCATCATTGTTATCATCGCCGTCGCTCTTGTTCTTCTTCGAGACCGGGCTTCCGTGACTGTACATGCATTTTCATGTATTAGCAAGACGTTCCAATTGTATCATGGAGGACCCAAGGATTCGTAGAGAAAGAGACCTGGAAAAGGAGGGAACTCACGCAAAAAACAAGATCTTGATCGCCAAGGCAAAGCCGGCATGCAGCAGGACGACCAAGATCAGCAGGATCCTGCTGGCCTTGGCGTCGGTGGCGCTGAGCACGGGGTAAAGGTTGCGCAGGAGGAAGAAGACGGACCAGCCAAAGCCGACGCCGACGAGGGCCCAGTTCAGGGCGGTGAGGGGGCTCCAGCTGACGAGGGCGACGGCGATCCAGACGAGGTTGGAGTAGCCGTAGAGCGCCCACGACTCGACCAGGTCGGCGCTGGAGCTGCCGAACCAGCGGAGCGCGCCCCAGAGCGCGACGGGGAGGACGCCCGTGTACCCGTACACCAGGCCCGCGGCGCCGGACAGCAGCGTGAAGTCGTAGGCGAAGTGCGCGTCGTCGTTGTTGCTCAGCCATTGCGAGATCGTGCCCGTCAGGAACAAGATCACCACCACCGTCGTCGCGATCCAGAACGGCCCGTACAGGTCCGGGTTCCCCTCCAGCACGTCCAGGAAGTTGTTACGCGGGTACAACGTCGCCACGCACCGCCGCAGCACCTCGTTCGTGTCCACGTCGAAGAACTGCGCGTAGTAGTGGATCGTCCACCACGTGTGCTTCGTCGGCGTGCCCCCCGGTGACCGGTCCCGCCGGCCGCCGCTGCGCGAGGTGCTATGGTCGCCTCCGCTGCCGCCTAGGAATGGGGTCGAGTCTTGTTGGATTTTGGCGGTGCGCGGGTCGTTCTCGAAGTCTGGATCAAGGGTAAGTGGTGAGTAGAGGGTTTGGAGGTTGTAAAGATCTGCTATGAAGTTTGGCTTACTCGAACGGTGGAATTCAAGGTCCTCCTGAAGGTCGGTGTGGCCGAGGTCGCCCTGTTCATTTGGTTAGAATGACATTAGCTGGGATTCCCTGGGATGATTGGCAATGTTCCCTCAGTGATGCAGTGGTGCATTGCTTACCTCGGCGTCCACGTCGACTACCACATCGTAGCCCTGGTTTGCCATCTTGAAGGGGGGGCTAGTTTATTTGGAATTGTCAATGGAAAGGTGGTTTCGTTGTGGTGGTGCAGGTTGCGGGAGTTTGTTGCAACTGAAGAGTACACATCAGCGAACGAGCGGCTCGGGCAAGCCACGCACCAGCCACCATATATGTGGAGCTTGGCTCTCCATGCCGCCCGCTGCTGAAACCACTCAGCTACGTACTCGTATCAACGTCCGCATGGACAAGATGGCGAAATGTACTTTGCAATCATGCTTGATCTTGTGCTTTGGGGGATGTCGGGCCATATAATCACTTTTATTATTTATACACTCATGTCCAAAAGTTCTATGCCAAGGGGGCAATCAGTACTGTATAGTATACAGCTCTAGATACAACCATCATAGACATTCCATCCTCCTCTAGAGATATTCGGATGAGAAGAGACGACACTATTGAGCTAGTCACAAGAAGCCGCGGTGCTGCAATGTCGATTTGAGTCGACCCAGATAGGACCAGATGGTAGTGTCGAGTCCCTTGCGTCTTATATAGATCGACATCGCCCCAATCAAGACGGTGACGGCCACCGAACCGATTGTTCTCCTGTGGTTCCACAAGAACGCAACTGCCTTTTCTCTGCCCTCCTCGTAGCGTAGCTGCCGTGTTTGCTGTCTGAAGTATTTAAGAGCTTCATCTTTGCTATGAGTAGGCACGAGTCCCCGGGATGTCTTGAGGGCGCTGCATGATGGGACCTGCTTCCAAGCCCCGAATGGCAACGATTCCGGCGGATAGTCTTTGAAAAGCCGGACGGCAGATAGGATCAACCCGTCAAGGTCTAAAGGATTGGGTAATTTTGATAGAGTGAAGTGGAGCATCTCTGGCTCTTCTTCAGGAATTTCGAGCAGTTCTTGCTTGCGAGAGAGAATGATCGCTGCGAAGAGGTATACCGACACCACAGGTTCCTCAGCTAGCAGGAAATCGAACAGGCGAGCAATGTCGCTATACTCCTGGATATCATGAGCATACAAGGTCAAAGTCGCCGCGAGGGCAAAGAAGGGTTGAATCTCGGCAAGGTGATGGCGTAATGACGAGTCGGCCAGCTCAATAATCGCCGGCAGTAGTTGTAAGTGTTTCAAGGCAGGAGAAAGTGTCGGGAGCATGTAGTCTCGAATCCGCAGGAGCGAGATCTGCGCAACAGCAGGAGCGGCCCCATGGCCGCCAAGCACAAGGTAGAGCACTTGCACGATATCATGGTACCCTTGGAAGTAGCACAGCATTGGATATTTCCGCAGAACTTGCTTAATGAGTTGAGAAAGCTCATCTTTCTTCGTCGAGATCTCCTCTTCAGAACCTATTCCAGTGATTAGTTGGCGAGGTGCTTAGTTGGTTGAGGTAAAGCATACCATCAGGGTAGTAGACGAAAGACCGATTTACATCTAGCTGGATCTGCTCCTCGTCCACATGCGGGGGCAGGTCTTCCCACCCCGTGAAGTCGTGAACAGACTCTCTTCGATCGCACTGAAGGAGAATGGGCCCTGAAAAGGTCGGATGTCAGTCACGTAAGGCAGAGTTTCGAGGTTACAGGGACTTACAAGCCACTCGTCTAATATCGTCATTTAAGAAGCCACCCTCAGAAGTTGCATAGGAAACCAGTGCGTCGAAGTCACGCAGGTCGCATGCTTGGCGGATGGCGTTCGCCTTTTCAGTTGTACGGCCCTCACTTGCCACCTCAACCGACGAGTCGGTCGTATGCAGAGATTCCTCAGTTGCTATGCTGTTCCGCTCCTTCTCGTCGACCGTGTCCGGGTCGCCCGCCAACTCGCTGATCTGGGGCTGGTGATGATCCATTATTGCCGGGGCAGGCAATGGGATGTTGTGGCCAGCCTCGTCCAGTAACTCACCGTGCCGTGCGAGGCTAAAGGTGGACAGTGATACTGTATGGAGACGAGCTCAGGAAGGAGAGACGGGGTCCGTCCGATAATGTGCTAAGGCGATTATCTATAAATCCACCTTAATGCGCACTAGGCAAGATCGGCAAATGGAGATACTTTGTATGCAGATGACGATCGAACCTCAAGTTATATCGATGAGTCGGCTTATTGTCAGTCTATGTTTGGGCAAGAAGAACCCTACAGTGCCAGCCTGATGCCATCGGGTACTGATTAAAGAAGATAGTCGGAAGAAATGTCCCAAGGAAAAAGAGACGAGTTGGTCTTGACATCCGCGGAAGTGGCTGCAAATCGAATCCCAAAGGAGATGTTTTGAAGCCTTGCAGCCTTAGGCCAAAAGGCTGCACCCGCCGACCGCCCAAAGAGGAAGTAAGGGAAGCCGCAGGCATCGAACAACTACGGAGTACCCAGTAATGATCCGCGTCAACCGTCAACCCCTCCGGCAAGTTGTGCACATCACGTCACTATCTTCGCCCTCGTCATTGATAAGGCTGGACAATAAATAGAGCCTACCATCAATCGATTGAATCAATTTGTCCTGTGTCTGTCAGTTATAGCCTTGACCTGGCCAGGAGACTGAGCGCACTCCTTCACCATGCGTGCCTGAAAGCACAGCTGCAAGTTTGGAGGTAGCGAGCGGCCTATGGCATCATACCTACCAGAACTAAACATACTTACCCGCTAGTCGATTCTCCCACAATCTGCCCGCGCTGGGATTTCGCGGTTAGCAACTGCAGCCAAAACCGCAAGGCTGACGCCCAATTCCTTAATTCTCAGACACATTGAGATTGACCGGATCACGGGATCACGGCTTGGGCGACACTCAACAATATTAGGAGACACTGATATCGTTCCTGTTATCAGCGCGCAGCAAGTGGTGTCTGCAGACCCTTGCATTGTAGGTTTTCTTTCCCCCCACAAAGAACATGTGTTGATCTGTTTCAGAATTAGCTCACGGATCAGTTAGAACATATTATTCCTCCTTTGCATGACGGCTATTCATGTTTCTGCAGATCGTTTCTTCCAGCTACATTTGCGGAGAGACCTCGCGCTCGCTGTCCACTCAGTCTTCGGCTTTTGCTCTACTCGTTTTCGGAGTGGCATGTGGTTCCTGAACTGTCTTGAGCATGGTTAAGGCAGGACCGCACGAGCCGTAGTGTCATCAATCCTGGGATCTCTCAAAGTCTCCTTCATCTTTGTAAAAGAGGAATTCGAACCCGACAGGTTCTTGAGGTTATTCGCAAAGCTTGCTCAATTCACGCCACGCTACGACATCTCTAACCGCCTAGCTAGTCTTGCCAGACAGTACTTTTGCGGCGCTTGTTATCTTATCGTCCGTCGCTGCGGGCCTTTTCTACAGACTCCATGGCCCAATCGAGGATAGATCCAGGTCTAGCTCGAATAACATTTGAAAATGTCCAAGGTGGAGAACCAATGGATATCGAAGCAGATGACATCTATGCAAAACCCCAAGCTAGAGTGGGACTACTCTCGCACACTCTAGTACCAAGCCCGATTATACAGTGGATTCTACCTGCGCGTCTAAGAGGGAAGCATCAAAACGATGTCGTGTTCGTCGGTGAGAGATGCCTTCAGATCAAGGAGGCAGTGTCCGGCGTACATCTTGAGGAAGTCACAAACAAGAATGACTTTGACTCATACATCATGGCAGCCAAGGTCATCAATGTGAGCACAGAATTACCCTGGGAAGCACAGATGAAGTTGAGCGATAGTAGATCCACCATGTCAGCAGATGCAGCCATGCATAAGGACTTGCCGCCTCAAATTTTGGTACTTAGTCTCGCATCGAGAGAGCTCACGTTCCTGTACTACTGGAATGCTGGCGAACAGTTCATATACCACCATCGTCCATTGCCAAATGATGTCAGTGCCTTTGAGAGGTTCGGTCGAAACATCGCTGTAGAGCCGAGGTGAGTGTTCCCGGTCAGAAAATTGGTCATTAGACTGAGACTTTTGGCAGATCTCGAGTTGTTGCAGTCAGTGCTTCTTCGGACTATTTTGGAGTCTTCGTACTCAAGGAGCCTGCTGTCCTTCAATCACAGATGGCGCAAAACAAACTGGACCCGATAGCAGAGGTATGTGCATGACGTTTATCGGAAAAAATCTGTGGCCACTGACCCCCTCGGCTATGAATCTAGGAACGCTTCTTTCGTGTCGACGGCGATATCATCTCTATGGAGTTCTTATATCCTACCAATGAGGATGGAGATAAAATCATTTTACTTCTACTCATCGCCCAGGATCAGGTCACGTATGCTGTCTGTTATGAATGGAACGCCTATGAGTCGCTACGACAAGCAGCCCCAAAAGTGACCAGAAAAGTGCTGCCGCTTGAGGACAGGCTACCTACCATGCTCATCCCCTTGACCAAGACGTCATCATTCATTCTCGTTACTACAACCTCGATGGCTGTATACCAGAATAAACTCGATCCCCAGAGGCAACCAACTAGATACCCGCTTCCAGTTCCTGATCGTGAATCTCAGCGACAACCACTTTGGACTAGATGGGCGAGGCCTTTACGCAATTGGTTATACAACCAAAAGCACGACGACATTTATTTATGCCGGGAGGACGGCAGGGTCTTTTACTTGAGTGTCGGCAATGAGGGCGAAGTGGAGAACCAAACTCACCTAGGACAGCTTTGCTGCGATGTTGACGCTGCGTTTGATATCTTGGATATCGGATACGAGGGCGGTGATCTACTTCTTGCTGCCGGCACGACAGGAGATGGTGGGCTTTTTGTTCAGAAGGCCAGGGATCATCCAAGGTGTGTTCAACGTTTCATGAACTGGACACCAGTCACGGACTCTGCCATTGTCAAGGATGACATCGCCTCAAATTCGGGGGCTGCCAGTGATCGCTTCTTTGTTTGCTCAGCTTCTTCCTACGCGCGCGGGGCTGTGGTCGAGCTCCGTCATGGCATTGAGGCACAGAGTGGCCTAGTTGTTTCTCTAGAAGAACTCTTGAGCACGACGGACATCTGGATCATGTCAGACGGTATGAATGGAGCCATCTTCATATTGACATCCGATCCAGTTTCTTCGATGCTTTTATATTTGGCAGCTGATTTTGTGGAGGAGATATCTGCTATTGATGAAAAAGACTCAGGCCTCGACTATGGCACGCAGACTCTTGCCGCCGGATGCACTGACACAGGAGCCATCATTCAAGTGACGAATAAGGCTATTCATATTGGCGCAACCTCCGAGTTATGGTCCAGTTATCGCCACGAATATGGTCCTGAGCATCATATTGCAGTGGCTGCTGTCAATGGATCCTCGTTGCTTGTTGCTGCTGCAGTCCGAACTTCACATGATGTGCACCTTCACCTCAAAAGACTCGATTCAGGCGGCGGCCAAGCCCAACTACAGGATATTGGCCCTGCTTTGCCTATCCGCTATGACCCTGTATGTATGTCGATCGAGACACTGGGCTTCTGCACATATGTTTTCATAGGCACGGGCAATGGAAAGGTTCTGGTATACCGCGTAACAGACACTGTTTCTTTCGTGTCGGAAACAACCATTGCGGTCGGGAGCTCGGATGATATCTCGAAAGCCATCGACAGCCTTGCACTTATCAAGCCGATGAACGACACTTCATCCGATAAGTACACCATGTTGTGCGGTCTCCGAAGCGGAATTCTGGCCCCGTTCGAACTGATAATAGACAGCGAGATTGGACTGTCTCATGATGGTACGCACTCACACGTGTCATATTTAACATTCCATACTGATTTCTCATTATGGCAGCGTTCAAGCAACTGGAACCACAGCGACTAGGACACACCTCGGTGAAGGTGCAAAGCAGGGGCGACATTGCCCTACTAACTTGTGGGCACGGATTCTGGCAAATGTCATGCAGTCAAGATTCTGTGACAACTAACTATACGACCCAAAGAGTTTGGGTCACTGACCAGAACAATGTGAGTTCTTACTACTCCTGAGAGATATGAAGTACTAACCAAGATGCTAGCCTGCCTATCATCCGAACACAGTCAACAGTTTTTGTATATCTGCTGTGGGGGGTCCAGGCGCAGAGAGTCTTTTCGACACGCTCTTCTGTGTCGCTGAGGGACAGCTAATGATTTGTACTCTCGACCAGAAAGTGAAAGCTGTTCCAAGAAGGATCGACCTACCAGGAAGTGCTAGCAAACTCACATATTCGCGGCATCTGAGGAGTCTGGTGGTCGCATATAACCAGACCGAATATGATACGGATACAGATCCCATCCGACGCTACACTCGGCCATACATCGAGTTTGTGGACCCAGATTCGCAGCAATCCATGGCCAACACTTTGGAATCTCCCATTGACGAGAGCAGCCGTCCTTGGAGACCACAAGGAGTAGCGGGCGAGAAAATCAGCTGCATCCTAGAGTGGACGCCCAGGAAAGGTGATGAAGAATACCATTTCATCGTCATTGGTACTTCACGCAAGAACCAGCAGGACCGTGGCAGGGTCATTTTTCTCCAAGCATACCGTGAACCAACTAATCCGTCACGGATCGAATGCAATGTGAAGCATATCCATAAGTTTGAAGGCCCGGTTTTCTCCATCGTTCCCTACGGTGATTTCACCTTGATGGTTTCGACAGGCCATATGATAGTACCGCTAGAACCCAAGCTTTCTCAAAGCCAGGGTGTTCGAACAGCAAGATACAAAGTCCACTCGCCTGCGGTTCTCATGACGGCGCGTGAACCACATCTGTACCTAACAACATCCAGAGAATCACTCATGGTCCTCAAGGCTGGCGAGGATAAGTTGACTCTTCGTGCGCAAGACCGCCAGAAGCACGATGGCCTCTCCCACATCCATCTAGATGGAAATTCAAATCTCATCTTGACGTCCAGCAGAGGCGGTCGGGTCAGTCTTCTGACCGAGGACGGGGTTAATGAGCGCGATACCATGATGCCTGCAGCCTTGTGTGAGGCGCACCTTCCCTCGTCTGTCATAAGGCTCGGCGCAGGGGCTAGACAGTC